CTATCGATCATTCTATCGAGCAGTACGTTGTCATCTCTCGTACTTTTCCTTTGTCAAGACACTTTGGCGGAGAGTGTCTTTGTTCCTCGGTATTACTCATTTCAATATTAAACGAAAGGTAAATTTAAACAGAAGACATTGGAATTCTACGATCTGGCTGATATTCTTCATTCAACTAACATTTGAACGTTTGTGATTGACCAGATTTTTTTGTTCAACGTTTCATTGAAACATCAAGCTCTACGTAACTGCGCTCTTCAAATAAGTTTTTCTCGTGCGTCAACGGAGATTAGAAGAAGTTTTCTACATTTGTCGGTTTCTCGACAACATCGGGCATGAAGTTAACTGCGTGGAGTTTTGTGTCGTGCATCCTGATAGCTGTCTTCTTCTTAGCGGTTGCCACGTCTGCGTATCCTGCCAGCAATCCAGAGATAGTGAGTATACTTTCCTCATACTCCTTCAATGAAATTGTGAAACTTACGCTTGGATATCACCTACAAGTTGTTTCTCTTTGATTATTCGAGTTTGATAATGATACTTTAATTAAATGTATATTGGTACATGTTCCATTGGTCAATGTTCCATCGTGTTCCCCATTCATATCGAATTTCACATTTCTTTTTCTATTTATTTTTCGCCTGTGAATTATTTGAAAGACTATCTCTCGATGCGAATCCTGTTCAGCGCGAGTCGTAGCCACGTGCTGAAAGTGGCGCGTGGGCATCTGGTCTTTGGGGCTTTGACTCGTAAAGTCGCGTTACTCTCTGCGAATTAAGCACGTAGATGCAGTGGAAAGAACTGTAGAGTATAGGACAAGTATAGGAAGACATATTTGTAAGTCAACCTGTTACACTATACAGCGACTAGTGGATGTCCGATGAATTTTTAATTCTTCTGAAAATGAAACAGTCTTCTTCGTTCCATTAATTTCTCATTGTTTTCATTCTACATCGTCTATTCTTGTTTTCACTAAAAGAAAAATAATCATTCTATGGTTTAAAAAGTGATGGTTTTAACAAGTTTCACAGTTTTCTAGCAGTCAGAAAATGTTATCATTAATACACCGATAATTTCGCCTGAGATGATATAATTCAGTCATCGATATTCACCTAGTAGCCAACGGAGGCTCTCTCTCCACTAGTTATATCAAGCTATAATTGAATTTCCAATTAATTTCACGTTCATAATTCAAAATGTTTCTTAAGTAAGGAGAAATTTTTGTTTAATCTTTCACGTGCAGAAATCAATAAAAATAAACAGAGATCCGTATTTTCCTCGTGACCGGCACGTGGGATGCATATGATAACATACCAAGCACGAGTGGACATTGCTCATGAACGGTCCTTATTAAATCAATCTCTTTTCTCTACTTGTATTGGTATATCTAATCAAACCGAACTGTAGACGGTACCGCAAATAGAATTCATGCTTATAAAAATTTCTTTCCAATCGTTTGATTATACTTAATTTCACGAAAGTCGCAATCCGGAGAATTCTTTCTGAATATTATTTTTTTTTTTTCTATAGATATATTACTTGAAAAATAGGAGAATTGCGTTAAATTATTATATAAACATACTACATATTTAATTGTGTATGATTAAACGCAAATTAAATTCAGAGATTAAATAGAAAGCAGTACGTGTTATCAAAACAGGAATGATAAAAACAATTGATAAATAATAAGATTCGCATGGAAAAGGGACACTTCAGATTGCGGCTTCCTTTCATCGAAAACAAGTTGTTTGATCTATTTATATTTGTTTCATACTGCAGATGATTTTTTTGAGTTTTATTATAACGTTGCCAATTATTTTTTTAAGATGTATAACTTGCAGGCGATCGAGAATATGCGACAAATTCCGCAGTGGCACTGCCTCCGCTACAGAAAATTTGATCTCGTGCGCCGCTGTCGGAATTACCGTTTAGGAAGGAAACACTGACAAATACAAAATTATCGCAATCCCGGATGGACAACTACGACAAATAAATCACTATATTTCAAATTCCATCGACCAGCTGTTCTCAATGTTTTGCTGCACATGTTCAAACTTATATAAAAATGAGATAAGATGTGTAACGAATCATAATAACATCTCTATAACAAACTTGTAAACTCATTACTTGTGAATTCAGTTGATAAATGGAGCAATATCACTTACATAGATTTTGATTTAATCCTTCGTATTTTGTTATTTACTTCAAGACTGTATTTCCAAGATTTCAAAATTCATCTTCAACTTTTAAGTTTCATAAATTAGAGAAGAAAAAGAAGACAGGTAAAAGGATGAGAATATCTTACGGGACAGCAACTTTGAGAAAAAAAAGTTCAATAAAGATTGCTACATGTTGCATTAAGTTATTAATATCACTGTACTTCTATGTCTTACTTAATTATTTATATGTTATTGTAAACTGTTTATATATACATATATACATATATATATATATAATACATATATATTTGTGTGTGTATATATGTATTTATATATATATATAAACGTTGATCTCATCGTAAAATGAGAGCATGTTCTAGAATAAAATTATTTTTTTTATCGCAAAAATGTGTTGAGATGAACATCACCTACCTGTTGAATCACATATCCGACGATATGTCAATTAGAATAATGTAAATTGCAAAAGAATATTTTAATTCACTTACCTCTTCTACCATTCCTTTTCCTGCTATTCCCAATTGTTCGTGCATATATGGACTGGGTACTTCCCTGTCTGTGATAGTCTTGCTCGCTACTAAATTACTAAAGGCAGTCGCAGGAATTGTTGTATTCGGTAAAATTTCCAGAGAAATCATCACTTCGGATTCTGGTTCTAACGTTAGTAATTCCTATAAATATAACAAGTGTACAGATACTTTATATCAATGTACATTCATCAAGTATACGTACTTGATTAGAATCTAAAAAGAAAAGCTGTGATCTTCGTTGCCACAGTCCGTACGATGAATCTTGTTTTATTTTTAAATGTGGTACAAACGCAGCACCCAAAATAAAACTGTCATTTTCGATAACACTTTTTCTCGTATAGACGGGTTTCGATTTATGGGGCGTGAATACAAATACTGAAATTAATAGATTGAGTTCTATGCAAAATGAAAATTTTCGCAGCTTTTAAATCAAATTATAAACTTACATGAATTATCGGTTGTGAAAACAGCCATATATGTCGACTTTGGATCTGCTGTAAGAGTTGCAACATTTAAGGGTACACTCCATATTAATGTAAGCGATAAAATATTCCACACTGCAATGTGCTGTGCTGAAGCTACTATCACAAGGTGGCAGGCATCTTGTTTTCCAAATTCAATTCGTCTATATATAAATAATAATACCAATGTTGCTTTCATGATTATTATAACAATTATTTTTTATGAAACTTACATTATTGGATATTGATATTGATTATGCGTAAGGCTACATTTAAATGTACAAGTATCAGGAGTCCACATTGTTAGACTAGAATCAAAACCAATACCGACTAATGAACCATCAATTGAGAAACCAGCATCTGTTGCAGGTAGATTTCTATAATTTCCTATGCTATGACACTGCCAATATTTGTTTTTTCCTACAACAAATTTAATTTAATTCTTAAAAATTAATATTATGATCTTCCTATTATGGTATAACAAAGGAATAAGTTGCAGAAATTTTACGTACTACTTGTGGGTAAAGATTCTACAAGATGCCACAATTTGAATTTTTTATCTCTGCCGGTTGTAATCGCCAATGTTCCATCATCAAACAACAAACATGGTTGGAAATGCAAAGCATTTACACCGCCTTCATGAGGTAGCTCGATTGATGTGTTTAATGCATATCTAACAAGTTAACATAGTTAACTAGTATTTAGATATATAAATCAAAAATATATATTCTATACTTACTGTTGCTGTTTAGTGTCATACATCCAAAATTTAAGTCTCACTTCTATACACGAGACTTTATCGTTTCTTTCTTCAACAGTTGCCATCCACGAACCGTCATGATTTAATGCTATCTTCGTAACTTCTGTGTTTACAATAATTACACTACGCTCTTGAGTTAAAAAATTTTGTGCTGTAATGTTTATCTGAAAATTTATTAATATTCTAATAAATTACATAAAATAAGATTTTTATTAATTTTATCTTGTACTGGTGCTTACATTATATAACAAACTTTTCGTATGGGTATTATAAAACTGAACATGTCCGGTGCGACTGTTTAAAACTAAACAATTCGTACGTGGATCAACAACGAGGCCAGCAGGGAATAAATCTTTAGAAGATAAGGCTACACCCCATGTAAAATTTTGTATGACCGATGTTAATTTTCTTTGTGGATTTACAACTACAATACCTATGAATATATTTGTAAAATATATAAATAATTAGATACAGATATTTTAAAATTATAAATATATTTTAACAAAGAAATATTGATTAAAAAATGGAAATTATTCTAAAATTAAAAATATTATACCATTGTCTAAAGTAGACACAGCTACGTATAAATTATCTGGAGCAATAGTAAGATGTTTAATGGGTGCAGGTAATCGGGGAAGAAAGGATTTAAGATGTGGATTCGCTAAAACCCATTTCACTAACACACATTCTCCACCTCCAGTATACATATGACCTCCTACAATTTTTATAGTAAATTAATATAATTATTGAACATGTTGAACTGTAAAAAAAAAAAGATTTTATAATATAAATATTATACCTGATTTACTGAATACTATTTCTGTAACTGGCAATGTATGCCAATGATAAACTGCTGTATAAGGTCTTGTCTGAAACAAACTCTTCCATACTACTACACGACCAGTTGAATCTCCAGTGGCTACACACTCTTCTTCTGGATGTCCAGCAATACATGTTGGAACTCTGCCTGTTTTACCTGTTTTATGTCTGTAATTACAAAATGAAATAATGATTAAATATTTTTCATTCAAAATTTAAACCTGTCTTTAAAGTTATCTATTTTTTTCTAAGTAATTGTATTGTACATACAATTTATCAATAAGATTTCTTGATGGATTCAATATATGCAAATCTACATCATGAAGAAGTGCTACTAAATTGTCACCATGATTACCGATTATATCAACATAATATTCAAGAGAATTTGTTCTGCAATACATAATCAATATAAATACATAATACAGAGAAATTTCTTTCATAATATTATTGGAATACAAATGTTTCTTACTGTATACATGTCGACTTTGTACAAATCCCATTATCTAAATCAAATAATACTATATAAATTTTTGCATTGCATTTGGAAATATATGTTACAAGCACTTGACGAAACTCATTTCCTTTGTGAGTTTTGTAATTTACAATATGAAATGTTTTTATTTTTGGCTCTTCTTGAAATTTTAATTTCTGTAACGTAACACAACAATTGTAAAATCACGAGAGTTTCAAAAAGAATTAAAATATGATCTTATACTATAGAAAATACATTTAATATTCATACTAATTTCTTTGTGATAATGCCACTCTGACAACTCCAAAAATTTAATTCTCCATTTTCTGTGCAAGCAATGATCAGATTTGGATTTTCTGGATGTACAATTAATCCTGCAATTCTGTTACTTGCAGGTTCCAACTCTTTAACGAAGTCTCCAGTTTGTGTACTGTATGCTCTTATAATATGTTTCCATACTATGTACAATGTTCTGTAACATACACATATTATTTTAAAAAAGATGTTAACTATAAATTTTCTTTTTAAATATGCTTTCAAATCCAACATTTACTTATGTATAGATATCTTATGTATACAAATTCAGTACAATGCATTTTCCCACTCAATTATAGCACCATCACTGACTTTACATGCAATGATAAGTTTTATATTTAAGTATTACAAAATATTACGATTTTTGTATACATTGAATTGAAACCTACTCTCCATCGTGTGAAAAAACTGGTCGTTGATCAATTATACTTCCTCCGCCTTTTCTCGTCAAAACTAAATCATCTATATCAATTACTTCGATATTTACAGAGCTGCGTCGTTTATTCAATTTCATCTGCATTTTGTTAGTTAATTCACAAGAAACCAACGTTTTCGAATAATATATTAATATTAATATTAATATCGTATGCTCCACATATTAACGACGCGAAACGTAATTTTGACAACTGCACACGTGTTAAACATGAATTAACCAAATTAAAATGCCGATCACATGTTCTCCCGTGTAATCAAGATCCAAAAAAAATTTCTGCAACTATGGTGAAGAAAGTATCTAGACAGATGCAGCTCCGTCTCGCGAATCGTAATATATTTTTTCATAAATATTTTTTCATAATTTTTGATTGAACTGAACAAAAACGTAGAATCATTGACTAACTAACATAGACTGTACATCCAGTGCTTTTTCGTGTCTCAGGTTTTGGGGAGTCATGACCCTCTTACCATTTTCGTGTCACATCCTGTCATATCGACTTAGGCAAGTATTGCACTACAGCGCTATTAGCGATAGAAATTAAAATAAAAAAATATGGACCATAGATATATACATGGATTGTATGCAGAATAATTTTGTATGATAAATTATATGATTGATTCGAAGGAGTTGCAGTTCGTCCAAATCGTTGCTTGCATTCGAATTGCCCTTTCAGTCTCTCTCCTACAGATCATCGTTTTTTGTTCGACATAAGACAGTATTATTTCTTTTAAGAATTATAGTCATCTGCACCCCATGCTTATGCATCTACTACCACGTGGATTCTGTAGTACATTACGGAATTACTGCTACAACTCTGTAAAAAATTTAATAACATATTTGAACATACTTTATACGAATTCAAAATGATATATTCTCATTGAATATTGGTTATTCTCATTCTCTTTGCAATTACCTTCAGCACAATTGTCATCGTGTAGAATGACAAAAGCGAATTAAAAGGATAGTTTAGGATTTTCTGACGAGAGCATACTTGTCAAATCTAAAAATTTGACATGGTTGTCACATTTTTATTACTGTTTCATCGATCAATTCTGTAGATAGAATGATGACTAACTTATAATTAGTCAATGGACAGAACTAATCAGTGATAAGACTACGACCGCGTAAAGTCCTGCCATCTAGTCATGCAGTCACTAAAATAATAATATAGATAATATAGGTAATTTAATTTTTATTTTATTTAATTATATTGTTCCATATAGTCAGACAGAAATCAACTCCAATAAATTGTTTATTTCTCAAACCTATAAATGAAAATGAACGTATATGTGCAAGAGTGACAGGAGTACGAAATGTTGCAGTTAAATATAACTTGTAATTCCATACTTAGATTTTTGTACGTAGAATACATTCATTTTAAACTATGTATATGTTCATTTTTGTATTTAGAAAAATAAAACTCTCTAAATTCCTTGTAATAATTTCGCCTGAAACTGTCAAAGTTAATTGACTGAGTTTTGAATGACGCGCGTGAAATATTTTAATTTTGCGCGCCGCTATAAGCTAGAGAATGTAAGTGCCTGCCCTCTACTGACACTTACGTCAGCCAATAGGAAAGCGGCTAGAGGAGAACTGGGTGGGACATGCCATCATTCCGGTTATTGTAGCGTCAAGATTCTTTTGACATGTGTGAATTTCGTAGCATTTATTGTTATTCCACTACTTTCTACAGACTACTGTCAGGTTCGTTTAACTAATATATTATTATTTAATACATTTTTAAGCAGTAACATAATGATATTCAATAACATTACGAACTTTGCTACGCAGTTAACCTTGTTTAGTTCTTTACATAGGTTATTCTACTATTTTCTACAGACTACTATCAGGTTCGTTTAACTAATATATTATTATTTAATACATTTTTAAGCAGTAACATAATGATATTCAATAACTTTACGAACTTTGCTACGTAATTAACCTTATTTAGTTCTTTACATAGGTTAACTATGTAGTTGTTAGATTTATTAATATCACATGTCAAGAGATTTAAGGCAGAATCTGAGTGCAAATTACTTTGAAAGAACATCCCGATGGTTGCTGTGTGAATTTGGTATGTTAATAACGTTTGATTTATTATTTCATTCACATTATTTATCAATATCAGATGTAAAGAGTTTTTGAGGCAGAATCTGAGATTATTTAATGTACTGGTTCGATATTATTGAGTCTAACCTAAAGCTTTTGGTTTTCATACGTATAGATTGCTGATTGGATGCTGAAATCAATTTGAAAGAACATCTCGATGGTTGCTGTGTAAATTTGGTATGTTAATGTTTGATTTATTACTTCATTCATATTATTATTTTATATTATTTCATTGATATTATTATCTTATATTAGATCACTGACATTATTTGAACGTTGACATCGAGGAACAACAAGGGACGTCAAAGGGACCATGAGGGATGTCGAGGGACATCGAGTGACTTCGAATGTACTGTATGAATGTATGATTCGCAACTGTATATACAATTGTACCATTATTGTAACATCTGCCTAACCTGGACGAATATTTCCCAATTATTACCAAATACGTCACAAAGTATGTTCGCGTGTTTTATTCACCATCACACTTCAATAACACGACATACTAGCGTGTTTTTACAACAATTTTTGGCTCCATCGAGTACGAGTATGCTCAAAGTCTTGAGCTGTTCGGCTTTGCTCTTTTGGTTCCTCCGGGAATGCCCAGTAACGGAGCTAGAAATATTTGGGCACATGATGGTACGTACTTTTGAGCAATAGGGAGTTTTCTGTTCATTCTGGTCGTGTCGCGATCTTTCTTTTGTATTCGCTTTTGAAATGATAGACACCGGTGTCTCGCGCAAGTAAAGATGTATAGTTTGACATGTCGAAACGAATTCGTCCACGCCTCCTTTGAAACTAATTTCCTCAATCGTTTCACGTTGGGCAAGTATGAAGGTATTAAACACGCGCAGCTTCTTCAACGATACTTCACTGGACAATTTGCCTTCATGCAGCGGTACCAGCCATATTCTGCCAGATGAAGCGGAATCAGTAAACATTTTGCATGTACTTGTCATTGTACTTGGCATAATCACAGATGAGAGTCACGTTTCGATATTAAATGTTTGATATTTAAAACTAAATGAATATACGGTAGTCAATCATCAGTTGCCAACGAAAATAATTTTAGGAAGTAATGTAATTAGTTTAAAAATTATTTTTAATAATAATGAAGTATAAATAATTATGTACATGAAATAGGTTAAATAATTATATAATGTATATTAATGTTAAAACACGGATAGAGATCTTTGTGATATATGCATAGATGCATAATATAAAACAGAATAGTCTTCTTTCATTCTGTTTAACGTATTTCTTTAATTCAACGTTGTTTAATTGTATAAGACGCTAAAATGCCAGTGATTTTTTTCAGATCCTGAGACACGAAATCCCATTTGATGTCTAGTGTATCCTAATTAGTCAATGATCGAAACACACTGCGTTTGTATATGAAAGAAAAAAAGGAACTGGTAAAAAGGTAATTATTTGTCCACCTTTGAAATACCGTGATATTTTTTAGACCTGTAGCTCCGATCGTGCGTTTAATTTTCAAATCTCTTATATTCGATAGTAACTCATTGACAAACGCTGATTAACTTTACGCAAACGAGAATGTAATTTCGTTTTGAAACTGTTTCTCCGCGTGATGTGTATCGTCAATTACGAAATAAATACGAATGCGAATTAAATTATCCCAGAAAATGTCAAAAATTAAACACGGAACGAATAATTTTTCATTTGCGAAGAGGGAATAACGTTTTCAGAGGATCGAGTTGTTAAAATTTCGCAATTACGTATTCTTTGATAGATCTTAGGCGTACGTTGTATCCCATAATTGTATGTCAAAGAAGGAAAGAGAAAAAATGCAGGAAAAAATAATTACGGATTTCAAAATTATTTCGTTCCGACAAAATGGCGCCGCCATATCGAAGCACTCTGCACTCGTACGCGTAAGAAAAAAAGAAAGAAAGAAATTAATGAAATGTGGTGATAATTTCACATCTACGACTTTTCGGACAAATCTTGAGCTCACTTTTTATATCCATCGAAAAAGAAAATGAAAGAAAAACAAAAAATAAATTATATCGCATCTCGTAATTACTTCGTTGTGAGTGTTACCGACAGATGGCGCCACCATGAGCATATCTGTAGGTACGATGGTCGGTAATACTAACAATTCACCGTACTACAAAAGGAAAAATGCAATCCGCACTAATTCGGGAAAGAATAAGCGAAAGGCGATTGCTTTACTATTAATTTTATTGTAACAATTAACGATGGATCGAGATTAGGATTCACATACAAGACGACGCGTCGACGCACTTTATCTCCAATGAACTCTTCGCACTTTTTTAGAGACAGATGGCGCTGGGGTAGCTATCACTACATATTGAAGCGCTCTGCACTTATACGAAAAAAAAAAAAAAAAAAA